GCTTTCAGCTTCTCGCTGTTCAGTATGATGTTGGCTGTGGGTTTATCATATATGGCCTTTATTATGTTGAGGTACTTGCCCTCTATACTCATTTTATTGAGAATTTTTATCCTGAATGGATGTTAAATAGCCATTATATTTTATCTAGCTAGTCCCGGTCCAGTGTTTCTGCCTGTCCAGATCTTTTAGAATTGATTATATTATCCCCATCACCCCATAACTTCAGGTCATCTACAAATATAAATATTCCTTCTACATCTATATCCAAGACTATGGTAAAATGTGCTGGACAGAGCCCGCAAGGCTGCTCACTGGGAACTGGATTGACTCTGATCCTTCAACAGGATCTCTGGGTGGTTATTCAACAGTTATTATTTCATTACCCTACATTAACATCTACCTGGTATTTCTCCATCTTGTCCACAGGAACATCAGAAACACTTTGAAAATGAAACATGTTTTGGAATTTGGGCCTATTGGCTTACCACAGTCCCTTGATGTAATAGCTTTGCCAAAAAATGACCTAAAAGCCAGGATTTCCTGATTTGTTCTTGTTGATCCTGTGCTGATTTCTTGTGGTCATTTTGCTCTCAGTATTTACCCCCAGTTGGCCACAGGCTCCTTTCCCCAGTATTCCATGATTCCTCAAAAACCTTAAACATGATTAAGCTATGTTCTCACTCTGTAGATACTTGGGGTATATTTTATATCAGTCAGAACACAGCATTTACCATTTTCTCTGATCTTTTCAACAATCTTTTGTTTCTGCTATTTCTTGCCTAATTTTTTTGCACCCTTAGAATATCATTTTCCTTCACAGTGAAGTCAAAATTAAACAGTCATTGGTGAACCCAACCTTCTTTGAATCCCTCCTCAACATTGTGCTAAACCATGGCCCTGTCTGCTGTGATCTCCTTTGGCCCCCATCATTTTCTAAAAGGGCTTCTTCTTTAGTTACTACCTGCAGTATGATGATGATTATTATTATCTTCTGATAAGAGTAAGTTTATCCTGGGCTTCAGCTCTCCCGACACTATTCATAAAGTTTGAGCACTTTCCTATTTTTGCTATAGGTGATATTCTTATCTTTTAAACCTCTGCTTGTGACCCTTCAAAATCTGAGTCCACTGCAAGGTACTGTGCAAACAGTAGTTTGCACATTTGGGAGTTTCCAACCATTTTCTTAACCTTCTTCTTCGCATGGCCAGGTGGCTTGAAGTAAACTACTCTACTGATAGCACTCCCCCTCTCTTTATTCTCACCCACATTTCTGTACACACAGTGTCTTTATGTATATATTTACACAGCTCCCTTCCTACCAAGACTGCCTCTTGGGAGTAGGATGCACCCTCTGCTCACCATATCTGATCTTGAACCAGAGGAGGATTCCACAGCAGTTTCACAAAAATTGATCAGATATTTGTAGGAGCTTGTTATATGACAGGCTCTAAGTCTTGAGGATATCTGCAAGCGTGGATATAATGCTCTGTGTTAGGGCTTCTGGTGTACTTTGTTTATGACCCTGCTGGGGCATAAATAGTCTTTCTGGCCCTCCTTTGAACACTTCCTCCCATGGTAGGGGAGGGGGCGCTGGTGAGGAATGCTGGTGCCTTTAGCATTCCTTCCATGTCAGACCTGCCACTCTCTGTAGTAATAGGTTTCAAGGATTGGTCTGGGTGTTCCCCTCCATATCCAGTTCAAAGTCTTACTTGTTGAGAAGGGACTTGCTGTGTAAAAGCATAATAAAAAAATGCTTTAAAAGTAGGAACGTTTTGCCCATGAAATCCATTCTATTTTTGAGGTTCTCCAGTGTGCCAATGTTCCCATGCTTAAGAGTTCTCTGGGGAGCTTGCTTAGAATCCTGGCAGGGACCCTGCAAAGGAAAGGTGGGACTCTGCATCTTTATAGGTACCGGGTGATGGGCCACACAGTCCAGGTCTTGCAGGGCAGTGGAACCAGACCCTGCTGCCCGCCCGCTCCTGCTGGCCCTTGGCCCCACACTGCCAGCCCTTGGATGCTGTTGCCTCGATTGTCTGTGTTCTCCAACAAGTGGACAGGGGGCTTCTGCCCTGGGCTGAAAGCAGATTCTTTTTTGCAGCTGTCACATTTAGGAATCATTAGTGCTCTGCAGAGAGACTGGCTTTCCTTCGTGGCCTGATCATTTTCCCTGTGTTCTTTCCTTTACCTCCTCTTGAAGTGATTTTCAGCTCTTCCAGCTTCCTGGAGCTGCATACTTCCTGGTTCCCTCCTGCTCGCCCGTCACTCCTCTCACAGCTCTCACTGCAGTCTTTCTGTCATATATTCGCTCCATTTCTCTGGCCAGACATAATCATGTACCTATTACTGGCAAGTTTTGCCCAGTTACTACCAACAGTCTCCAGAAAGAGATTTTAAACCTTAGGCAGAAAGGAAAAGCAAAAAAAAAAAAAGCAATAATTTTAAGGAATTGCTTGCTTTTCCTTCAATTTCAATCTCTGCTGTAACAACCATCCCATCATGTGACTGTAGGAAGCTGTAGTATGTCATCAACCCTGGCTTAGCGTCTCCAACACAGTCTGTACATTTGGTCCAGGCTCACTATGTCACAGAATTTAATCAGCAGGCATTTACTGTGGGTGGCTAGACTTTTACTAAACACTAAATATATGCTGGCTTTAAGGAACTCAGTATTAGAAAGGCACTTAGCTGTAAAACAAGCCCCTACAGACCAAATATGCTGAATGCTTACCACCTGAATTAGATACAGACAAGATTAGCTCTATAAATTAAGCTTAGGGGCCAAGAGGATCATGAATGAACAGGTCAAATAAAAGATGATTTGAGGAGGGCCTTTCTCTGGAGGTGGGTCCGCAGTGGTGCGCACAGGCTCTGGTGCCCCACCTGCCATACCCTAACCTTCTCCTGCCTCCTTTCTCCTCACCTACATCCTTTCAAGCTTAGTATTAGTGCTTTACAGGCAGTTACCCAGTAAATGACTTGTAGAACCCTGTTTATGAATATTTAGATAAATGCTCAGATTTCTCCCAGCCCTCAAAAGTCCCACATGAACCAATTTAGCCTGTAAAATACTCTGCATCCCGTGCAGCCTACGCATGAGCCCCTGGCTTGTGCAGGCCTGTCCTCAGCTTCTCCCTCACAGAGTTCTGGCTCCTAATTTCATTCAACCACATTGGAGCTTCTAAATAAAGCAGGCACGGATGGGGGCAGGGAAGTGAGGTGATGGCGAATCTAATTTACTGCTGCCATGACTACAGTGTGAAATGAACCTGTGAATCCATGATAGATCAGTCTCACTAAGGCTGGATTTTAATGATTAAAAATGGCAAGAAATGCTGTTCAGTTTTCCATCCCCAGGATCCTAGAGTGAGGGTGCCTTTGGGCTTAACTGGGTAGGGGATTAGATCCTCAGTGCAATCTTGCTGAACTCTCGAGTGTCCCCCAGTTGTGACCACAAAAGCTCATGTTAGGGATGTTTTGGGCTGGTTCCGAATCAGGGCTGTATTTGACTGCACGCTGAGACAGAGTCTGGGGTGGGCCCAAGTCCCAAGTCCCATGCCGCTGCCCACGTGATTGTTGGATATGGCCTGTCGCCTCAGGGAACTGCCTGTACTCTGGGAAGGACTGGCCTGCGTCTCTGAGGGAAGTAGGGCTGTGTTTGCGTGGAAGAGCAGGAAGACTAATGAAGAAACAGGGAAAGATTGAGGACGGTATTTGTTTCAGCACTTTGCTGATGCTCTTTGCCTGAGGGCGTCTGGGATGAAGGGCAGGGCTAGCAGGGCTGGTAGAAGAATTTAACTTCCTGTCCAAAATATGACTTCAGAGGGCAGAAGCAGCAGCATACATCATACGCATGAGTGGAAGTGCTCGAGCCAGGGTATTTCACGTACACGTGCGGGCCAGGCAGGGCCGTTTCCCTTACCCGACATGGTCTCATAGGTCCACTCTGTCTGCGTGCCCTGGTGTTGCCAAGTCAGAGATTCTCCATTCCATTTCATGCACGATGAGGGAGCCATCATGTCTGAGAGAGGAGACTCCCTGGCAGAGGCAGCGAAGGGAGGAGCGGCACCGCTGGACCAGAGGGTCCCCTGGGCAGTGCCAGAAGCCGGGTTCCTGGCAGAGGGGAGCGAGGGGTGGGTCAGCTTCCAAACAGAGGCTGGGTTCGGGTCCCAGTGCCACGGCCTGCTGGGAAGCTGGGGGGGTGCGCGGGGGCTGCTCTCCTACCCCTGCAGACCTCCGCCCACCCCAGATGGGCTGCATCACAAGGCTGGGAGGGGCCAGCTGGTGGATCATGGAAAACAGGCCTTGTGCCAACAGGGCCCCATGTGGCCAACTGCTCCTCCACTCTGAGTGAAAGGATCTGTGGATGCTTTCCAAGGCCAGTAGGCCCGGCTTCCCTAACCGACAGGCTGATGTTCCAGAATATTCTCCACCCTTCCTGGATCACCCCCCCTGCTCATGCCGGTGGCCCTGCCTGCCTCTCAGCTGCCTCAGGTGAGTGGAACAAACAGCAAAGTAGATTCTGCAGCAGCTTAAAGTCAGGCAGTGAGGTCTCTCCTCCTCGTCTGCCCACCACAAACTCCCCACTGTGGGGAAGGTTTCTGCGGAGCCTGATTACAGGCAGTTGGGTATGAAGTGCAGTTCCTGCTCTCTGGCAGCTTGGGATCAAAGGGATGACCCAAACGCACCCACCTCACCAGCTCCTTCCTCAGGAACCTCTGGCTTTTACCTGGGGGTAAGAAACTGTAAGTCTTTGGGGTATCTTGGCCCTGGAGTCATGGCACATAAACTGGCCAGCTGGCAGAGGCAGGTGTAAGATAACATGCCCAACATCTAAATGGGCTGTGACCATGGTCGGTAGGGAAACACAGCCTTTGGAGTCAGCTGATCTGGGCTTACATCTTGGCTCTTGCATCACACTGGAGTAATGCTGGGTAAGTAATGTAACTTCTCTGTGCTCAGTTTCTGTACCTTTTTGATGATAATACCTGCCCCAAAGGTTGCCACAGTGAGGACAAAATGAGAGTGGGTGAGGGCAAGGGGGCTGCTGTTGTCTTTATAGGGGAAGTGAGATGTTCAGCAGTCTGTGAGCAGGCCATGCACTGTCTGGGTCAGGGCCCCCCATTGCAGGGACAGGGAGGGGCTCAGGGGCTACAGTCTGAGGTGGGAGGTGAAAAGGTTGAGGAGAAAGGAGGTGACTTGCTCTAGCCGGGAGGTGCCCTAGGAAAGCTGTTCTGCCTTCAGCGCCTGTGGGAGTTCCAGGAGGATGTTGTGCTACTTCCGGGGGACTCCTGGGAAGGCCTGGGTCTGCAGGCTAGGGCAGAATAGCCGTATTCTCAAGATGCACCTTTGAAAAGGGGCCCTGGATCAAGTGGCAAGATGCTTGCATCCTAGGTCAGGTGACCCAGGGATCAAGAACTAGTGGACACAGGTGAGCTTTCTGGGCAAGTGTCAGCTCTTACCCTGCTCCAGGCCTCAAGGCCAGATCAGGAGACTCCCCCAGGCTTTATCTTCCCAGTGGGAGACTGACTGTCTTCACTCACCAGGCGCCCACTGGGACCCCAAGAGATAATGAAGTCCTCATAAAAGGACTTAGAGAAGTCAAAGCTGCCAAACACGCACAGGGATCATACTAAAGGAAGTGGTGGGCCACTCTGGCCACTTCCACTTCGTATGCATTTACCCAGCACTCTCGCTTCCTTGGTTTCCCCAGGCTGGGACATGGCAAGGCCTCTGGGGCACCTGCCAGGGCTCTGTTGTGGCCTCAGCCCCTGGGAAACAGGACCTGGGTTCCTGCCTACCTGAGCCAGACACCACTCCCTGCCCCATTGGCAGTGGGGAGAATTACAAGGAGGAGCCATTGGATCATATGTCCCTGGGAACTTTGGCAATTCCAGGCCTTCTTCTGCAGCTGGTTCAGAGTGGAAAAGAGGCCTGGTGTGTGGCTGGAGACCCATGGGACATGTGTGTGGAGTGAGAGAGGGAGACTTCCTGTTTATGAGGGACCTACGAAAAAAGTGCTTCACCTGAATCTGCTCCTCTTTCCCACCACTGCAGTTTAATGGACATAGCTGTGTTTGCCTTGGCTAACGGGTCTGTGGAGGGTTTAGTCTCTCAGCAGTGTTGTGTCAGGAAAAGCCAGGGCTTCTCTGAGCACCCCAAGACCCAGACCTGGACTCTGGGAGCCAAGCCAAAGACCATATGGGCGGACACAGGCAAGGCCCCAGGGCCTCTCTGTGCTTCTCTGGGCCCCAGGGACAGAAAACCACTCTGCTGAAGTATGAATAAAGGATTGGATGGGTGCATGTGTTTGGAATGAAGCTGCCCAAGAATCATGATTTTTGCTCTTGGCATTCTATGTTTCCATGTGGTGACTCATGGGAGCAGCAGGGAGCCCTTAGCACGTACTGAGCATATCCTGTGTGCTGGCCGCCGTTCTGGGTGCTCCTCAGGGGCGAGTTCTCATTTAGGCATCACTCAGTCCCACGAGGCTGAAGTTCTTACTGCCCCATCCCATTCTACAGGGAACTGAGGCACAAGGAGATGGCTGCCCCATGGCCCGCCGGTGGGTGGGTGGAGGAGCTGGATTCAAACCAAGACAGCTGGACTCCAGAGTCCCTGTTCTCAGTCCCAGCCTTTCTGGTGGTCATGTCACTGTCAGGGCCCTTCACTGCCACACTGATACGCTGTGTCAGTAACCGAGGTGAAGGGGGCCCTTTGAAAAGCCACTCCCTCTTATGCATTGCTTCATTGGGGATGATTCTGTCAGATCTGTGCTGCTGGGCCCTGGGAAATGTGAAGCAAGAAATGGAGGAGCTGGTGGAAAGCAGGAATGGGGCACTGGCCTTGCCAGGCTGAGGGCTACCCCGTGATTCCTATGCAGCAGAGCTGAGATTTCTTTCCTGCCTCTCCTCATGCCCAAACTGGCCTTGTACTTTCCTCTATCTGGCGTCAGTCCACTTTCCCCAGTCATCCTTTGTGGGGGGAATGGAGAGGGTGAGACTCGAGGACAAGGACTGTGATCCAGAGGTCTTGTGTACCCCCCACATTGGTTTCTAAGAGCTGAGTATACAGGAGGCATTTCTCATTTATCCCATAGGTGTGCTATTGACTTCTAGTATGTGCCAAGCCCTGTGGCCGTTTAATGAATACTCACTGATGAGTAATTTAGACCTTGGAAATTTGCCTAAGTAAAGAGGATCACAACTTCCTTTTGGGTGTTCATTCATCTCTTCACCACGAGCTCTGTCCACCAGCCCTCTGCTGTCTCTCCCCAGTTCAGACTTCTCTCCAAACTCAGACAGCTCCTGCACTTTCATCTCTACATCTCTGGGTGCCCAGCATTCTGATCGTGGGACCCACCCCTCACCCTGTGAGTGACCAAGTGGCAGCACGGAGCAGTACTGGGAGGTCCTTTGTGAGTGGCTTCCAGGAGACACACCCACTGGAGCCCTCCTCCGGCCCCTGTGCCCCCAGTGCCTCCCTGTCTTTAGAACTGCCAAGGCTCTGGAAGCATCATCCCAAAGCGTGAATTTCCACCTGATTTATACAAAAAGAGAACTAGTACCTTGCAGCGAGATTAGGCAGAATTTGTGATGAATCAGCCAGCTTGAATTCTATTGGAAAAAAAGAACAAAAAGCCAATATTGAAAAAAAGACAGCATCTTCCTTTCTGTTCAAAAATGTTAAGTGTGTGATACTGGGTTGGGATGGAGAGGCTCTGATTTATAGAATGTTCCTATATTTCTTTTCCTTAGTGTTGTCTCTCTTAACGGTTTCCTTAGAAATTAGGAGGTTGAAATTTTTTAAAAATCAAAGAGAGCTCAAGAAGATAATTTTCATGAAATCAAGGATTTAGGACATTCAGGTTTACTTTGTTAATCTTTTGGCACAGAGGCTTCCCTGTATCAGGATGAACGATGTACATACAGGAGGGTGACTAGGTTAAAAAATATAAATATTTTAAAAATTATTTTTAATTTTAAAGAAACTACTTGTGTCATTTAATCACATGAGTGCTTGCTTTAAGTGATATGACATCAAGAACTTCATGTATGGTTGGGATAAAACATGCCATCAATTCCAGTAATAAAGAATGGCACAGTGGAAGTAGAGAAACGAGAACCAGGAAATTTAAGTTTGAAACTTAAATGTTCAACATGTACACTTATCCAGAGTTTACCCATGTGATGGTATTACTGAGGAATATTACTTGGCTAGGTAACTACAGAAGTTAAGCAACACAGGTAAATAATGAAGCCATAGTGCTAAGTTACAAAAGTAAAATACAACCTTGCATATACAGCATATTTAAAACAGTAAAAAAACAAAACAACAAAACAAGGTCCACCACCACCAAATATGCAAAAAATAAGGGCAGGAGGGACAGAATAAAAAATCACTGAAGTGTGGATCTGATTTAATTAAATTTGGAATTGGTAGATTGGGTACTATTTTTCTACTTCATATTTTTAAAATTTTCCATTAAGAAAAGAAGTAGATTTTGTTTCTCTTCATGTCACTCTTTTACACTTAAAATATGCACATAATTTATTGAAAAGCAGAAACAAAAGATGAAAGGAGGAAGGCAAGGAGAAAAGAAAGGGGAGTAAAGAGAAAGGAGAGAAGTTCTCGGGAGCCTGTCCAGGCTTCTCCGCTCTCTGAGGCCTTGGAGTGCTCACGCTACTTCCTCTGACTCCGGGTTCCTCATTTGTGAAGTGGGGGTACATAGTGGCCGGTAATTGAAGGAGACAAAGATTGTAAAGTGCACAATATAAACCCCATGCCACTGGACTGTACTCTGACCTCCCAGGCAAGATGCCAGAGGGTGATGCTGTTTGTGTGGGAGCAGCACAGAGATGGGGGCCACTGGCCACCAGTATCTCCTCCCACCAGTGGCCAACTCCAGGCACACTGGTTGGGAAGCTGTGTCACGATTTGTGAACTTTGCTGCTTCACAGGTTGCTTGGCTCTCCCATTCCTGCCTCACTACGTGTATCTTGAAACTTTCTTCTTAAATGCACAGACTTGCTAGGTGCTGTGTTGGAAATGGTTGTTGGGACATGCACTGTTAATTAGAAATGTCAGCTGAGTTATAGCATTTAGGCCAAACTGCATTTGGAGCCCCTGAAGAGGAGGTAGCAAGGGTAAAGAAATTCAAATCCAGCATATCATGTATATATTAAAGTATTATTAAGCAAAAATATTATGAATTGAAATTAATATACTGTGACATCCCTATGGAATTATTTGCCCCAGAGCAGAATTCATCTTCAGGAAGTTTTTGGGTTCTAAAAACACAAAAAGGGCCTCATTACAGGGTGGGGGAGGGGGATGTTTATGTTCTATGACAGCATGATAGTAATATAGATCATAATTCTTCCTTCTAGCACCTCCTGCATCTTGTGAGATCAGAAGAGTATTTTTACACTTCACAACTGCATGGTGCGGGAGAGCTTGCAAAGCATTTCCAGATATGTTCTTTCATTTAATTATCTCAACCACATTGTGAAGAAAGGTATTTTTACACATAGAACATGTAAGTGACAGTCCCATTAAAGGCCTCACCATGTGCTGGATTTTCTGACTCTGACTCCACAGCATTTATACCCATACTTTACAAAAACTATTTGGAACCTCTGCGGGGAGGTCCCAGTATGTGGCTACTGATTATTCAGTAGCATTTGATGCTGTATTTATATTCAAGTTGCTCATCTAATTTTATTGGGTTTCCCTGAAAACCATGGGGAAAATCATCCCTTTAAAGAAGAGAGGTGGGTAGAGGTTGTTAGTGTGACCCTGCATTGACTTGTCCAGGCTGGTGGGAATCTCTGAACTGACCTGCCTGCAGAGCAGTTGGGTGGGGCACAGATCCCTCCCACATCCTAGTTCATGGCACCTTCTCCTCATTTTGTTATGTTCATTTCACAAAGGGCTGGGTGAAGGGGGTTGGAATGTGGCCAGGGGAGTGTAAACTACCCTTCACAAGTCAATGGTAGGGGAATAACCAAATGCAATATAATAGAATAATAATAATTATAGTTAACATTTACATAGGCTTAAAATGCTACATGCCTGATATAGATCATAGTGCTTTATATAGCTTAACCCCTTTAATCCTCACAAACACCCTATAAGATAGGTCTGTTGTTACTTCTCACACACAGTTAAGAAAACCAGGACGCAGAGAGGTTAAGTTATTTTCCCAAGCTCCTCCAACTAATAAGCAGACAAGCTCCTGAGAGAGGAAGGAAATAGTGCTCTTTGCGACAGACTCCTATCTATCACCAAATAGATAAGTAAGTCGCCCTCATGTTTGGCCTCTGCACCTGACCCTGGGCGGACATCCCTATTTGATCATGGCACTCTTTCCTGCTGAGCTCAAATGGGGCCTGAGAATACTTGACTTAGTGCTCCACCACTAATCTCTACTAATTAATCCTTCCACATGAGAGATAGAAGCCCATTTGTCTTTTTTAAAGCTCATTTTATAGATGCCAATTAATTCATAAAGCTGTTTATAAAAATAAATGTGGGTATGTGCATGCATGTGTGTGTATATATATGCCTGACTTTATGAGATGAATGAAATTGAACTTGATTCAATTTGCATTTACTAAGCTTCTGCTATGGGCTAGGAAGGTACTCTCCTTAGGCACTGAGGTTCAAAACAAGGGATAAGCAAAGCTATATCTTAAAAGTATTAGGAGAAAAATCCACATAAAGAAATGTTAATGTAAATTCTTTTGAATCTTATGAATCAATGCCACTAAATAACCAGTAGCCACATGACCGACCTCTCCCCAGAGGTTCCAAGTAGTTTTTGTAAAGTATGGATATAAACGCTGTCAAGACAGTCAGAAAATCCAGCATATGGTGAGGCCTTTAATGGGAATGTCAAATCAGATTGTAAATCTGGTTTGGTACTGTGGATTTTCACAGACCAAGACATTCTTCCCTGTGCCTTTAAAGGCATTTTAGCATTCCTAGACAATTTTTCAGTATCTCTCTAAATTATGCTAGTAGGACATTTATTTTCACAGCTTTTGCTTTATCCACACTTCCATTCACTTGACAGCATTGTATTTGTCCTACTCTAGTGGGTAATATATTTGCAAAAGTCTAGCACATAGAGGGGGCATGTTAAGAATGCTTGATTCATACTGTGCAGAAGAAATCTCCTGAATGCTACTTTTCAGCATTAGAATTACACTTGGTACTTGAGCAGCAGTGATATTAGGAGTCTGAGAGGTAGTTTAATGATAGAGGCACACAAAACACACAAAACAAGAGAGTTTCCCAACAATAGAGGAATTACCTCTCCAATGCCCCAACTCAACTTCCATGAGGGTGGTAGGAGGTGGGAATCTAGGATGATACATTCTGACTTGATGGAGAAGGGCATAAGGGTAAAATGCCTGTGTGGCTGCTGGGAACACCCAGCTTTTAGGATATAGGTTGTGTGTAATCAGATTGGGATTAAAAATTCAAGCTACCCATGATGCTTGCAGTTAATAATGGAACCAGATCCAGGAAAATAGTTTACTTTTACTTCTAGATCAACATTAGATGATGCAGATGACCTGGATCTTAAATTTTCTGTACTTGGTTGGATATGGCTACCTAGACTCATGACCTCTAGGAAAGATACCACTTGGGCCTATGTATGAAGGTGTATTAGCTGCTTCTAGCAATAGTACAAGGAGGCCACTGCCAAATAAGAAAACGCAATTTAATGAAAAGTTGCCAATTGCAGAAACAGTACTAGAAAAATGTCAGCCTTAGGTTGAGGAAATCACTCCAAAGTTAAAGACTCACCAGCAGGGTAGGAGGATGCCTTCTACGGGCTGGATGGGCACCCTGAGAAGCATACTAGTATCTGTTGACCTAGCAACAAATGTGGTAAAGTACTCTAGGAAATAATTAGAGGTTATTGATAAGATTTAGCTGTAACACAAAAGAAGAAAAATCAGAAACAATGAATGATCAGTAACGGGATCAATTAAAAACATGGTTTGAAAATACAGTACAATGTGATGTGGCTATTGAAATGATTTGTAGAAAATTTAACAATGGAATGATATTCATAGAAGTATGTAATATTTATATATAATTACAATATATAAACACATAAGTAAATGCACCTTAAAAAGCAGGTTACAAACACTGAAGTCTGGGGAGGATATAATCAAAGTGTGAAAGTGATTATCATCTCTGGATGGTAGTGATTTTTGCTTTCTTTTCTTTGCTCGTATATAGTTTCTCAAACATCCATAATGAACATGTATTACTTTTGCAATAAGGAAAGGAAAAGATACAAATTATGGGGGTGTGTTTTGTTTGTTTTGCTTTCTTATGAATAGGCAGTGTATATTCATCAGGCCTCCCTGTCCGCTGTGTGGGCACAGCGCTGTGGAGCAGGGCTACTGACGTTGTGAATAGATCTGGATCAGCAAGGAGTCTTCCTACCTGTCAGCGCCATGGGTAGGGTTGACAGTGTGAGCTTTGGCTGTCTGTATCTTGTTTGTTGTTTTTTCCTGGGTGTTGGGAACTGGAGCTACCGTCTTTTGGCAGGTCCTCCTCCAGCTCACTCCCTTCCAGATGCTCTTTTCCTTTCAGATACTTACCCTTTTCTACATACTCTCTCTCCTCAAGACACTCACCCTTTTCCAGATACTTTTCCAGCAGATGTTCTTTTTTTTCTAGATGCTTTTCCTTCTGTAGGTACTTTGCTTTATTCAGATACTTCTGTTCATACAGATAATCCTTTCCTTTCAGTTTTGTTTCTTCCTCCAGATACTGGTCTTCCTCTAGGTTGGAAAGGAATTCTTCCTCCTCCAGATACTCATTCACCTCCACATTCTCCTTTTCAGGAAATAGAGATTCTCCCCTTGAACTCTCCTCATCTCCTTCATTATCCTCTTCCTCTGAAGATAAGGTCTGTGCAGAATGTCTGGAAGTTGTGGGAGGGTAAGGAGGTGATGCTCCTCCTGATGGCTGATTATTTTCATCTGACATGTTGGGGAAGCAGATGAGACCCTTCAGCAGCAGCCAGAGTCAAGTCATCATCCTGGTAACCAAGAGAGGAATACCATCCCATTAGTCAGTGATTGTCTACTGCATATCTATTTAAATCATTTTTGTTCACTCATTTCATCCAATAATCTGTGGCTGGCCCTTTGAGTTTGCAAAGCGGTACCTGCAGATCCATGAAAAGGCTCAAAAAGAGGGAACAGAGGGTTTACCCTCAAGGAGCTGATCAGAGAGACCACATCTGCAGGCACAACCTTTGAAGTTACCACACAATAAGAAGTCAGAGGGAGGGCTGGAAAGTGAAGGAGTGATCCATCATGTTTAGTGGTGCAGTAATTACAGAAGACTTTTATTTATTCATCAAGAAATATTTATTGCCACAATAAACGAGACAAAGACTGCCAGGGGCTTGAAATCTGGGAAGAAAAACCAGCAAATAGATTCCTATACACAAAGTGACAAGCACAGTGGAAGCAGTACAGGCAGGGTGGCATAGACCCAGGGGCTGGGGCCTTGGGCAGTGAGGACCCCTGTAGTTGGAGGCCTGCAAGTCACACCTCACCACTGCCACATACACGGTCCCCCTGCTGGAAGCCCCACTTGCTGTTTGTTCGCTCAAACAAACGCCTTCTTAGTTTTGCTTCCCAGCTTCAACATGACTTTGAGCACTTTGGGGCCCCTGGGCTGTCTCCCATGCTCGCTCCTATGCTCTATCCGACCTTCTGTGCTTCCATTAAAATAGGTGTTTTGCTATTTTGAATTTGTTTGTGTGTCTTTCCAACAGAGTGTGAACTTCTTGAGGGTAGGGAAGATTGATTCTTGTTTAAAATTGTAGTTGGAATCCTCCCCCTCTTTTCTCTGTCCACTGTGACCACACACGGGGGAGCATGTCGTCTTTGGTCAGGATTACAGCAACCCGCTCTTAGCTGGCCTCCCTGTGACCACTGCTGCTCTTCCTGTCATTTGCCATGAACTGTGTTTGTGAAAATGTAAATAAGATCATGATATTCATTGCCTAAAAATCCCCCAGTAGTTTTCCCTTGCACTTAGAATAAAAAGTAAACAGCATTCCATGGCTCCCAAGGACCTGGGAATCTGGTGCCTGCCAGTCTCTCTGCCTTTATCTCTTACCATTCCTCCCCTACTCTGCCACCCCATTATCCTCTCCTAGAGAACTTATCTCTATTTCTAACTGTGTTTTTGTGTTTACTTGTTCAATCTTTCTTCTCCACTAGACTGTAAGTATCTCAGTGACAGTGACTTTATGTAACCTGTTCCCCAGTCTATCTCTGATGGTTAGCTTGGTGCCTGACACTTAATAGATGTCCAATAAATATATGACCAGTGACTGAATGGGGGGACAAGAATAGATAACTCTAAGACAGTGCATGCCAAAGTTTAAAAAATGATAATATTTACTCTGCACAATGGGATATGTTGAAGAGGCTGCTCATTGTAGTCAACCTGCCCAGAACCTCCTGTTTGCTCCAAGGACTTGAGAGATAATACCTTGGCCTCCCTTTTCTTGGATCTCTGATTGGGAAGCTCTTTTCCAAGGAACCAGCCAGATGAGATCACAAGGCCCAGTTTGTAGTGTATGTGCAAATGATGTCCGAGGGGAGGAGTGTGATATGTAAAGACGTTTGTAATGGGCCAGTGGTCTTGTCTGGTGCTCATTCCAGAGGGTTGCTAGAGCCCTTGGATTATTCTGATAGGATTAGCAGGGGCAGTGTGGTGACCATAGGGGTGCAATAACCAGACCTCTCCTCAAAGAAGGGTTTGCTGTCCAGCTGTGGAGATGTAGTCCACAGGCAGCCTCCATCCACAAGCCCCTTTAGGATCTGCCTCTGCTGCAGAAAGCCACCTCCCAGAAGTCGTGCGCTTCTCAGAGCAGCCCACATCTGGTGACTAAGCAAGGTGGGGGTATGGATTTCCAGCTGTCCTCAGGCAGGACACCTCTGAGGTGAGGTGTCCCCCCCGGAGCTCCCTACCAGATGGGCCAAGCTTGCCAAGTCTGCCCTTCAGTATTCTCTCCTTGGCCAGACCTGCCTCCGTGCCCTTTCTCAGGTGTTGGTCCCTAATAAATATTTCACATCTCAACGGGTTACATCTCAAAAGTTTGAATCTTAGAGTCTATTTCTAGAGAACTCACCCTGTGACAGGCAGCTTCACAACACATACATCTAGAAAAGAATTGGTAGCAGGATTGGGGAAAGAGAAGAAAAAAGACCTCATGGATAGTTTGATATTTTGAAAGGTTGGGAGGGTGGGGAGTAAGTAGACCTGTGTAGGGCAGGAAAAACTGACCTGGCAGATAGACAGATGGCAAGGCAGTAAAAATAAAAGTAGAGCCAGTGGGTGGAGAGCTTGAAAATCCATTATGAACTATTTGTGTTGGATGGTGACTCGGAAGCTGACATGATAAAAGCAACTCTGGAGCAAGAGGGGCTTTGTGGCTATTTGCAAGTAGTTAAGAAATAGCAGAGACCAAGAGCTCGGCCTGCAGTGGACTTGCTCTCTTCTCTATTCTTTAACAGCTCTGTGATACATATATGTCTTTTCATGCAGGTTATCTCCAGTGCTTTTTGGAGGAGGTGAGGTGTAAGTCACACATGAGGTGACGGTGGAGGATACTGTCTTTGTGGCAAAGGGTGAGCTACGGGGAAGTTTTGGGGCTTATGTCTATGTTCATGGCGGCCCCTTCTATTTTAAAGGAGTCCCTCCAGGCTTATTTTGACTCAAAGCCACAGGACTTACTATAGCTGTTTGAGTCTATGCTCCTAATGACATCTCTATAAACCAGAAGAAGAAGGAATGGGCCAAGGACAGCAAGAGTAATTGGAGAGGGAAGTCTGTTCTGCCCTGGGAGTGGTGCAGGAACACATAGAGGCACCAGCCATTCCATCAAAGGCATGCTTACACTTCAGGGATCACCTATCTTTCATTTTTTCGCTGCTTAAGATCAAAGATCAAAATCAGCCAGTCCCCCAGACAGCCCTGCACGCATTCACCAACAGCATGCTGTCAGTCAGTGTTAAGAGTCTTTTCTTTCCATTTTCTCATCAGGCCTTGTAAAAAGGCTCCAGTTGCATTCTCTCTCATTTCACAGATCAGAAAATAAATTACACTCTAGATGTTCTCCTTTTAATTCTAGAAATTTATAAGAAAAGCCATCAGGCAGAAATAAATAGTAATGGCAACCTGATCCCCAGTGTCTGAGGCCAGCATTCTGGTTTTGACTTATGATTCAGATCTTGACTCATTTTGACTCTACTTTCTGACAGATTGCAGGTTAATTTCTGTGGTCACAGCAGGAAACATCAACTTTATAATACCTGGTTAAAATCAGCTCATTGACCTGTGGACCAGCCTCCAACAAAGCAGGCTGGCAGACATATTTATTCAGCTTAAAGAATTTAAAAAAGTTAGAGCAAATATTTAAAATTGGCAGTTTAATTAAAAAATCAGGACTCTGACTTCTCTTGGAAATAGGAGTCTCAGGCAACCCTGGGCTCACTTCCCTACCTGGACACGGCAGTGCAGAGAACTGCACTTTGCATTTCTGCTTCTGTCCCCACCAGCACCTGCAACCTGCTTGATTCTCAGGCAGCATTTTCACCACATGGGTCCTGCTGTTCTTTTTATAGTAGAGCTATAGTTCTCTGTCTCTATCAAAAAATAAAGCCATGTTTCTAGCCAAAGAGGTAAAACAAAAGATGCACTAGGTCCCCTCCTTTGCCTAGGGTGCATTGGTCTTATCTTTTTGGCCCCTGTATAGAAGTGGGGACTTTGCACAAGGCTTTGTGTTTTTTTACATAGCTCAACACTGAATGCCAGGCCTAGCATGGTGTCTGACACATAATGGGCATGCAGTAATAACTATTGCATAAATAAATGAATGAAAAAAATGGAAGAGATGAACAAACAAATAAATGTAAGAGCAAAGAAAAAAATTAATAATGTGCTATGCACTTTGCCAAGAGTATTTACTGATTATGTGCATACTATTATTTAGTGCAGAAGACTAAAACTTTCTATTAGAGGTCAACAAACCACCGCAATCTTACAGATTTATATCTACATAAACCCCTTTCATACTGTGTTTGAGGTTTTCTTTCAGATTTCATGTCATCCTGAGGGGTTGAGGCGAGGATCCCTGAACATTCTTGGTTGAAATAAAGGAGGAAGATACCAGTAACTAAAACAAGTTTTTAAGGCACTGGCTTTAGTTCTGACAGCCTCTTCCACACCTTCTAGCTAAACAGTCATTCTGGTGATAAAGTAAAGAGGATGAGAATAGGAGGAGAGCGAAGCTGGGTTTCTGTCGGAGACAGAGACTTTCCTTTGTGCCTAGAAAAGAATAAAGTATTTTACATTTTAAAAAATTTAAAGATTCATACAAATCTGGTAAAGCAAGAGACTTTAAGAAAACCAGGGCTTATAAAGGTTAGGTAATTGGCCTTTGGCCACAGCTACCAAGCCCCATATTTAGGATTCCATACTAGGTCTGTCCAACTCCAAGTCTAAACCACACTGCAAAAGAGAAGATGAGCAAGATATGTTACCTTTGTAGTCGTTACAACTCAAGTGCTTAGTGATTCCTTCAAATATTTAGAAATTCTAATGGCAGTCATTCAAAAGAATAGAAAAAATAGAGTTTTTACTTGCTAAAAGGAAATTCATTTAGATGAAAAGATATCATCAGGTAAAAGTTTATTGGACTAATTTTCAAGAGTCATAAGGAGACTTTGAATGGACCCTCCTCAAATCTTTAGATTTATCAGAAACCAAATGGGGTCATTGATAACTGTTACAGCAGATACCATATTCATTTTCAGGTAACTCAGATCCCAGTGGAAGCAAATTTTGGGTGTGCCCTGTTGACCCGGTGTGCTGAGGCCCCTGCGCTCTCCATGCTTGTGCGCATGTGCACAGGCTGCCTTATGGGGCCTTGTGGCAGGGGAACTACCACGCTCCTGCCTGAGCTCCAAACTGAGTATGTGATTTTGAACACGTTCGCTGCTCCTCCCACACATG